CCTCCGCCGCCCATCGCCTCCGCCCACTCGCCTCCCGCTCCGCCGCCTCCGCCTCCGGCTCCGCCAACCTCCGCCACCTGCTCCGCCGCCCTCCGCCGCCCAACGTCTCCGGCCACTCGCCTCCCGCTCCGCCAACCTCCGCCGCCCGCTCCGCCAACCTCTGCTGCCCATCGCCTCAGCCCACTCGCCTCCCGCTCCGCCAACCTCTGCCGCCCATCGCCTCTCGCTCCGCCAACCTCCGCCGCCGCCCACTTGCCTCCCGCTCCGCCAACCTCGGCCGCCCATCGCCTCAGCGAACCTCGGCCGCCCATCGCCTCCGCTCCTCCGCTCCTCCGCCGCCCATCGCCTCCGTGCACTCGCCTCCCGCTTCGACAACCTCTGCCGCCCATCGCCTCCGCCCACTCGCTTCCCACTCCGCCAACCTCCGCCGCCCATCACCTCCACCCACTCGCCTCGCGCTCCGCCAACCTCCGCCGCCCATCGCCTCTGCCCACTCGCCTCCTGCTTCGCCAACCTCCGCCGTCCATCGCCTCCGCCCACTCGCCTCCCGCTCCGCCAACCTCCGCCGCCCATCGCCGCCACCCACTCGCCGCCCGCTCCGCCAACCTCCACCGCCCGTCGCCGCCGCCCACTCGCCTCTCCCTCCGCCAACCTTCGCCGCCCATCGCCTCCGCCCACTTGCCTCCCGCTCCGCCAACCTCCGCCGCCCATCGCGTCCGCCCACATCGCCTCCAGCTCCGCCAACCTCCGCCGCCCATCGCCTCCGCCCGCTCGCCTCCCGCTCTGCTAACCTCTGCCGCCCATCACCTCCGCCCACTCGCCTCCCGCTCCTCCATCTCCACCGCCCATCGCCTCCGCCCACTCGCCTCCCGCTCTGCCAACCTCCGCCGCCAATCGCCTCCGCCGACTCGCCTCCCGCTCCGCCAACCTCCGCCTCCCATCGCCTTCACCCACTCGCCTCCTGCTCCACCAACCTCCACCGCCCATCGCCTCCGCCCACTCGCCTCCCGCTCCGCCAACCTATGCCGCCCATCGCCTCCGCCCACTCGCCTCCCGCTCCGCTAACCTCCGCCGCCCATCGCCCTCTCTCTCTCTCTCTCACACACACACACACACGGGGGGGATAGGGAGGCGGAGGCAGAGGCAGAGAGGAATTGGCGGGAGGATATTGCGGGAGGAGATGGCAGAAGGAGGCGGACGGGAGGTGGCGGAAGCGGGGGAGGAAAGAGAGAGGATCTGGCGGGGGGAGGCAGAGGGGAGGTGGGCGGAGGCCGAGGCCGCAATCTCTCTCTCTCTCTCTCTCACACACACACATACACACAGGGGATAGGGAGGCGGAGGCAGAGGCGGAGAGGAATTGGCGGGAGGAGATCACGGGAGGAGATGGCGGAAGGAGGCGGACAGGAGGAGGGGAGGTGGCGGGGGCGGGGGAGGAAAGAGGATCTGGCGAGGGGAGGCAGAGGGGAGGTGGGCGGAGGACGAGGCTGCAATCTCTCTCTCTGTCTCTCTCCCTCACACACACACACACACAAGGGATAGGGTGGTGGAGGCAGAGGCGAAGAGGAATTGGCGGGAGGAGATCGCGGGAGGATATCGCGGAAGGAGGCGGACGGGAGGAGGCGGAGGGAAGGTGACAGAGGCGGGGGAGGAAAGAGAGGATCTGGCGGGGCGAGGTAGAGGGGAGGTGGGCGGAGGCCAAGGCTGGAGGCGGTGGCGCAGGCCGACGAATCCCAAACACCACACCTGAGGTAAGACACCACCTTCCAAAAGAAGCCTAACATTCGACATGTGAGAAAGCGCAGCACGAGGGCCGCAACGCCCTCTTTCTCCCCCAACCCCTCCCCTTGCCACACTCCTCTTAATGCCATGCGGCTTCTTTTGCTTTGCGAGCGAAGCCGCAACAGGTCATCTAGTATTTCCTATATTTACAAATATGTCCCTCAAGAATTTTCCTCACAGGTAGGTTTCTCGGTTAACCCTAAACCGAACAAAATTACGAATCTGTCCCTACCTACAGTACAACCTCGTCAGAGAGAGGCTACATGCAACCTGGAACCAGCAAGTCATTGCAGACCTACCCTCCCCCGGAGTGAGGACCTCCGAGCTAGGGGCGTAGGTGTGGAGAGCGTCGAAGGGGTTCTCCCCTTTGCGCAGCCTCATATTTGAGGATAACAAACTTTGCTGTTTTTAGCTCCTTGCGAGTAAACTAGCGATCCTCAGTATGGGGCTGGTAAAGAAACTTCACAAGGTACTCCTTATCCGGGCTTGCACCATACTCATCCTCAACTGATTCCACCTCGTATCCCTTCCCAGGGATAGGGGGACCAAACTGAGGAGGCCTGTCTAGAAATGCATCAGCTGGGGTAAACGACAACAGCTTGGATGCATGAAAGACAGGGTAGGTTTGTAGATGCAGTGGGACGTCCACATGATAAGATGGCCCAAAAGGGTCAGCTCCCGTTGTATCCAAAACCTGCCATGGACCCATATAACGTGGCAACAGCTTGGGGGAAATGTCCTCCTCTCACGATAGCTCATAACTGAGTACCTAGACGCAGTCACCAACGCGAATGGGGGATGGTCGACGATGCTTGTTAGCCTGCTGAATCATAGTCGTTTAGGCTTTGAGCAGGTTAACTTTGGCTCGTTCGATATTCCTCTCGTACTGTTTGGTGAACGCTGCAGTCCCAGGCGTCAGTCTGGGGGTAGCCTTATCGATGATATCATCGAGAGGCTGCCGTGGTTCACGTCCCCAGTGACTGATAAGGGGTGAACCCTATGGAGGAGTGTACAAACGTGTTGTACACTAGCTGTGCCCGTCCTAAGTGGAGATCCCAGTCCTGCTGTTCAGGGCTGATCACAAGACGCAACAACCGGAAGAGGATCTGATTCATCACTTCAGCCTGCCCATTGGCTTGAGGATGACGACCAGATGTCATATCCTGTCTAGAATGAAGGTAGTCCTTACAATAGGACTGCCATTCATTGCTGCAAAAACGCGGATCTCTATCGCTGACAATAGAGGTGGGTGGTCCATGGTGTGTGACCCACCGGTCAGCAAAGGCTGCCTGGATGGCCGGGACTCTGGCCTCCTCTGGCAGTGGGATGAAGTCTGCATATTTAGAAAACCTGTCCACACATACCATGACCTGACACATACCGCGATGAGTAGTCTTCCCCAGGTCAATGAAATCAATAGACACTGACTGTGCAGGTGCATCAGGGATGGGAAGTGGCTGCAGTAGGCCAAGGGGAGGTCGACGCACAACCTTGTTCCTTTGGCACAACTCACAGGTTTCAACATAGTGCAGCAGGTCAGTCCTCATCTCCGCCCAAAAGAACCGCTGCGACAGGGCTGCCAACGATTTTAAGGCCCCAAAGTGGCCGCGCGCATCATGACACTCAAACATCATGAGTGTCCTCAGCTGGCGATCTTGGGGAATGCACAGACGCTCCTCTCCCCTGCTGCAAGTGTACAACAAACCTGAAACCAGTGAATATCCTGGTTCAGATGTAGGATCAGTCTGCAAATTCCTGACTATAGAGCCGAAAATAGGGTCATGTGGCAACAACTGGATGATGGTCTCGGGTACTCTCTCCAAAAGCATGAGTAGAGGAGATTAGGTAGAGAGCATCAGGCCTACGAGAAAGGGCGTCTGCTACGCGATTGTAGCAGCCCTTCTTGTGTTTCAGTTCAAAGTCAAAGAGATCAATGAATTGAATATAACGTGCAAGCTTGTCATTCAGTTCCGTTTGGGTCGTCATCCACTGTAGGGTGGAGTGATATGAATAGATCTTGAAGTGCCTGCCCATGAGGAAATGTTTCCAATGCTTGAGCGCGAACACTAGAGTATATAGCTCTTTCTCGTATGTAGAATCCTGCAGCTTCCTGATTTTGATCTTCTTACTCATGTACTCAACAGGCTGCAGACCATGCCCACTGTTCTGCTGAAGTACCGCCCCAACCCCATACTGGCTAGCATTATTAGTTAGTACGAAGGGCAAGGTAGGGTCTGGTAGCTTCAGTACAGGTGCACACATCAAGGCCTCCTTGAGGCATGTAAAAGCCTGCTGACAGACTGATGTCCAAAGAAAGTGGGTGTCTTTCTTTGTAAGGTCAGTCAAGGGTGCAGCAATAGCAAATAAGTTATTGACGAACTTTTTGTAATAGGAGGCAAGACCTAAGAATGACCGGACATCACGCACTGTGGTAGGCTGTGGCCAGTCCTGAATCGCAACAACCTTAGTTGCTCAGGAGCCAGCCCTTCCCCAGAGATTACATGTCCCAGATAAGTCACAGAGGTCACTCCAAAGGAGGACTTCTCCCTGTTGATCTTATATTGGGCATCATGTAGTGCCTGGAGAACTAGAGCCAGGTGCTGCGCATGCTTCTCGATAGATCGACTGAATACCAGGATGTCATCCAGGTACATAACTACAAATCTATCCAGGTAAGGCCTGAGTAAGCGATGCATCTCTGTTTGGAATGTGCCAGGGGCATTGCAAAGACCGAAAGGCATGACCAGATACTCATAAGTACCGTTCCTGGTCTCGAGGGCAGTCTTGTGGACATCGCCTTCAGCCATCTCAATCTGGTGGTAGCCAGATTTGAGATCGATCTTGCTGAAAATTGTGCAACCCTGCACCATGTTCAGCAAATCATCAATCCTAGGAAGGGGCTCTGTCGACTTCCTAGTAATCTTGTTGGACGGTGTCGTACCACCGAAAGGTTGCATTTACCACATGAGCGAGGAGGAGCTTACGATCCTCCGTGCGCAACTCGATGACTTGTTGGACAAGGGCTGGATCTCCCCTATGGGAGCACCAGTTCTCTTCGTACGGAAGAAGAAGAAGGATCTACGATTGTGCATCGACTACCGCAAGCTCAATGCGCAAACCGTCAAGAATGAGGGGCCTCTTCCTCGTATTGACGATCTCCTTGAGCGATTGGGTGGCGTGAAGTACTTTTCTAAGTTGGATTTGAAGTCGGGATATCATCAGATTTCGATCCGGCCGAACGATCGCTATAAATCTGCGTTCAAGACACGATATGGGCATTTTGAGTGGGTGGTCATGCCTTTTGGCCTTACCAACACCCCGACGACCTTTCAAGCGGCAATGACCAACGAGTTTCGTGCGATGTTGGACGAGTTCGTGCTAGTCTACTTAGACGGCATTCTCGTCTATAGCCGAACATTGGAGGATCATCTTGAGCACCTTCGATGAGTGTTGGAGACGCTCCGCCGCCCCAAGTGCAAAGCCAACCGAGGCAAGTGCAAATTTGTCCGGCAAGAGCTGGAATACTTGGGCCATTTTGTCACACCGGAGGGCATTTGTCCATTGTCGGACAAGATTCAAGCCATCCAAGAGTGGTTGGAGCCGCGAAACGTCACTGATGTCTGTTCGTTCCTTGGCCTTGCCGGCTACTACCAACGTTTCATCAAGGGATATTTGAAGATCGCGGCCCACTTGACCAAGCTTCAATGCGAGGATCGACCATTTGACTTCGGAGAGGATGCGCAAAAATCATTTTTGACTCTCAAAGCCGCGCTATTATCCGCGGAGGTCTTGCGCATATACGACCTGATATTGCCAACGCGCGTCACTACGGATGCGCCGGCTATGGCATTGGTGCCGTTCTCGAACAACAATACGGCATGGACTGGCACCCGACCGAGTACTTCAGCAAGAAAGTGCCCGTCGTGCACTCCATTGATGATGCACGTAAGGAGCTCCTAGCCTTCGTCCACGCGCTCAAGCGGTAACAGACAACAATCCGTTGGTCTTCTACAAGACCCAAGACACCGTCAATATCACCATCGCCTGTTGGATGGCTTTCATCGACCAATTTGACTTCTTTCCCGATCACTTTCGGGGGAAATCTAACCATTTTGCGGATGCTCTTTCACGACGTTTGGATCATTGTACCGAAGTCTATTAGACCTTCGAGATCAACGACGACCTGCGGGACAGCCTCATCCGCGACTACCAAGCTGACCCCGAGTTTCACGACAAGTACGCGAATTGCTCCTCTCCTAATCCGGCGCCTTCTCACTACCGGATCCAAGAGGGGTACTTGCTTGTCCACACGTGGGGGAAGGACCTTCTTTGCGTACCGAGTGACTCTCACTTGCGTACTTGGCTTCTTGGCGAGTTCCACGATGCTCCCGCCACCGGACACTTTGGAGTCAATCTCACAATTGGCTGGCTCGCGACCGATTTTGGTCGCCCGGCCTTCTCGGCGACGTCACACGTTACTGCGAGTCATGCGAGGTTTGCCGACGCTGCAAATCCCGGAATCATCGTCTGTACGGCGAGTTGCGACCATTACCGGTCCCCTTGCGCCGAAGGGAAGCCATTGCCATGGACTTTACCGGGCCATTCCTCAAACACAAAACCAATGTGGATGGGATTCTTGGCCTTCGTACACTCACTCAAGCGCTGGCGGCATTTTCTTTTCGGTCGACAGGAGTTTCGATGGGTAACGGATAACAACCTGTTGGTCTTCTACAAGACCCAAGAACACGGTCAATAGCACCATGGCCTGTTGGATGGCCTTCATCGACCAGTTTGACTTTTCCCCCGACCACATTCCGGGCAAGTCAAACCGTTTTGCGGATGCTCTTTTACGATGTCTGGACCATTGTACCGCAGTCTACTCAACTTTTGAGATTAACGACGACTTGCGGGACAGATTCATCCGCGGCTACCAAGTCGACCCCGAGTTTTGCGACGAGTAAGCAAATTGCTCCTCTCCCAATCCGGCGCCATCGCACTATCGGATCCAAGAGGGGTACTTGCTCGTCCCCTCGCGAGGGAAGAATCTTCTTTGTGTGCCGCGAGATTTACGCTTGCGCACACAACTTCCTGGCGAGTTCCACGACGCTCCCGCCACCGAACACTTTGGAGTCAATCGTACGATTGGCCGACTCCACGAGCGCTTTTGGTGGCCCGGTCTTCTCGACGACGTCACGCGCTATTGCGAGTCATGCGAGGTTTGCCGACATTGCAAATCCCACAATCATCGTCCGTACTGCGAGTTGCGACCATTACCAGTCCCCTTGCGCCGAAGGGAAGCGATTGCCATGGACATTACCGGGCCGTTCCCCAAGCACAAAACTGGTGTGGATGAGATTCTCATGGTGGTCGACCGACTTACCAAGTTCGCCATGTTTTTGCCTTGCCGCTATCATGCCAAGGCACCAGAGTTGGCCGAGGTTCTTTACGTCGGTTGGATTCGAACCAAGGGTTACCCCAAGGAAATCGTCTGCGACCGCGACACTCGATTCATGTTCGATTTTTGGTTGGCGCTCATGAAACGATGGGGCTCGTCTCTTAAACCAAGTTCGGCTCGCCACCCCCAAACCGATGGCCAAATGGAGAGGGCGCATCAGACCACACAGGTTCTCCTTCGCACTCTCATCCATCCCGACCAAAAGGATTGGGTTGAGCGGCTGTCGGATGTCGAGTTGGCATACAACTCGTCCATCCACCCGGCTATCGGGATGTCGCCTTTCGAGTTCGAGCACGGCTCGCCGGTCACTTCTCCGTTGGACACAATCGTTCCACGAACGACCATCTTCTTTTCTTGCGTCGGATGCAAGAGCTACTTGTCAAGGCACGCGATCAAATGGCTAAGACGCAGCGACGCATGAGCCAACAGGCCAATAGCCAGCGTCTTCCTTGTCCATTCCGTGCTTGAGATCTCGTTTGGGTTTCTGCCGCGGAGTTCAGCCTCGAAGAAGATCTCTCGCAAGCTCCTCCCGAAATGGATGGGGCCTTGGCCGATCGTGGCACCCGCTGGGGATGCACCCGAAGGACCTTCCTTCATCATTCGGGTGCCCACTTGCCCGTCTACCCAGTCTTTCATTGCTGCAAGTTGACTCTTTACACGCCAGCGGACGATGATAATTTTCCCGGGCGATGGTCGTGGCACCCGCTGGGGATGCACCCGAAGGACCTTCCTTCATCATTCGGGTGCCCACTTGCCCGTCTACCCGGTCTTTCATTGCTCCAAGTTGACTCTTTACACGCCAACGGACGATGACAATTTTCCCGGGCGATGACTCTTTGGCCCTGTTTTCAAGACAACCTTTTTCAACGCCAGGGTCTGGCACGTTTTGACATTGGCAAGAGCAGCCTCCTGGACGGGCCAACACTATATAGGATTGGCCCGCCCTGCAGGCTTCAGGTAGTTTATAGGGACTTCCCAGGCACTTCACGTGCAGTTCAGGAGGCAGGAGGTAGTCTTCAGGATTCGGCAGCAGCACTCTGGAGGAGCGCTGCAGTAGTAGTAGTAGCGTTAGCAGTAGTCTTCATCGTAGGGCGCTAGTAGGAGCTAGAGTAGTACTGGAGAGAGAGAGAGAGAGATTGGGCAGAGGCCAGGGAGACTTACCTGCAGCGCCATAGCTCCAACTCCGTCTTTGAGGTACCTGCAGCACAGCGCCATCTTCACAGGTTAGTACCTGGCACATCAGAGAGAGAGAGTTCTTCTTCTTCCTCTTCTCAGTCCACCATCTCCCTCTCACCCACTTGCTACCTGACTTCACTGCATCAGCAGACTACGAGAGAGCGGGATTGGTGACATTTGGTCCAGACTCGACATATTGGGATTTAGACATTTGACGAGGGATTATTTGGGACTTGTACCAAAGACTTGGTGTTGAGGACATTCCCATCTTCCCCCTCTTCGTCGTCTGATCCCCTCCTCTTCGTCTGTGTATGGTCTGGACCTGGCGCATTCTTCCTGTGTGTAGCGCCAGGCCCCTTCACACCTTGTGATGAGGATGATGTATGTTTAGTCTGCATTTCGACATTGATTGGGCTAGTCATTGGTATTCTAGCATTCCGCTGCGCTGTCTTGTACTACGTGAGGGAGGTCAGTCCTGGTCAGGTCAGGACTTATATCTAAGTCTTCCACTGCGTTGCAAAGCACCATTTTTGTATGTATCAGGATGTACACTGCTTGTTGAGGTTTCACTAGCATTGCATTGTCCATTCAGTCCTTTTCATCACATTGCGGATCCTTGGCTATATATGTACATCGCCCAACTCGGCATGTAACATCAGTGTGGCATGGCAGGCCCAAAATCCGAGCTGTGGGCCGCACAACAAGTTGTCTAAGTTTTGAGAGGACTTGCTGATCGCGTCGTCCTGTCTGCGACGTTAAATAATTCCTGAGGAATTACGGGGGATCTCCTTAAATGCCTCCTGATCAGCATTGAAGTCTTGTAGTGACAACCTTAGCATTAGGTCCAGGCTAGAGACCATAGCCGACAGGGTTTTATACGGATCGTGTAGTCCTTAGAAAGTCAGTCAGAGAGTCAGTGGGTAGGTCTAAGTGGTGTCTAAGTGGTGAGGAGTGGGACAGTCATTGTCGTGCACCTGACACCATGGATGACTACCCGATGTACGGTCTGCTCGTGGGGTTCTCCCTCTGGGGAACCCTTTGGCGTCTCCTCTTTCCCCTGGGATTCTGGAACACTCTTACGTGCAGAGTAGAAACCAGGGTTGGTGTGAGCACCACTCCCTACACCCAAGAACAGGAGGAGGAGGCTGCGAAGATCTTGGTCGAGCAGAAGGCCAAGAAGGAGAAGAGGGAGGTAGTAAAGCAGGCCAAAAAGTTGGCCTTAATGCAGAAGCAGGCTGCGAAAAGGAAGAAGTTGGAGGAGGAGCTAGAAAGGATGAAAAAGGAGGAAGAAAAAATGAAAGCAGTGGATGCAGAAGAAGAAGAAGAAGAGAAAAAGGTGGCAGAAGAAGTTCCCCTGATCAGGATTTTGAGAGACAAAGGGGAGTCCAGTGGCACAAAGAAGGAGGGGGACTAGTGGTTGGAGAAGGTGTTTGAGTGAGTCGCCAATCTATCCCTGGGAGAAGAGGAGGAGGCAATGTTATATGTCCCCAGGGAAGAACAGGAGGCGGTAGTGAAAGAGTGGGAAGCAGAAGAGGACCCCTTAAAATGCCGTAATATAGAAGAGGAGGAGAAGTTGGAGTGGAAGTTGCGCTTAACCAGGGAGAAGAAGAAGAGAATGGAGGAGGTAAGCAAAGCTGCGAAAGAATTGGAGGCTATAAAAGAGCAAAGGGCGCAGATGGAGGCGCAAGCAGATATGCAGGGGAAGATGTAGGTGATGTCGGGAAATATTGAGCTCCTGGCTAAAGCATGGGACAAGCAATATCAGTTCACTAGGAGCCATGATGTAGCCTTGTGATCAATTCGATTGGGATTTAGAGAGTTCGAGCGTGAAATGATGATGCACGTGGGCACAAAAGTAAAGGCGAGGCTAGAGAGCACTGAGCGATTCAACACGGGCGCCATAGAGGGCGCAAGGCTTGCAGCCCCAAGGGAAGAGGAGGCCCGTCCCCGTAGGGACCCTGTCAAAGTTAAGTTCCCCGATTCCTACAATGGGAAGAAGAGAGAGAACTTTGACAACTGGGAGGTGAACATTAACTCTTATGTTCACCTCCAAAAGATCATACCTGAGGAGCAAGTCCTCATTGCCTTCCACGCTCTCAAAGACGAAGCAGCAAGCTTCGCCAGGTCACTTGCCCTCGCTGCTAAATGCGATAACGATATGGTAGCGTACTCCACGATTACCCCCTTGAACGAATTCTTTAAGCTGCTGCGCGAGACATTTGTTGATGTCACTAGGGGGATTAGAGCCTCTGACAAGCTCCAGATTATCCACTCACGCCAGTGGAAAAGTGCCAGGGCACCCAAGGGAGTAATGGATGAGTTGGTAGGTGTCCCTGACCATGGGGTTACTGAGATCCAACAGGTCAACCTATTCAATTGTGGCATGCCCGAGCCTTTGCGCCGACACTTCTTTGAGAAGAGCCAGGAATCTATCATGACCTACGATACTCTGAGTAGGGAAGCGGTAGCGTTTGAAGCGCAGTCCATGCCAGTTTCCACTTTCTGGCGTAAGGACCTCGATAAGGGCAAGAAGTGGAAAGGCCATACCATCTCGGGTCAGGTCAAGGGCAAGGATCACCTGATCCTTACATTAGATGCGGGTGGTATGGAACATGTGCCCTATGATCAGATAGAGTGGGGCCTAGAGGAAGGGGATAGTGGCGAGAGTCAGGGGAGGACTTACGCTACTGTCGCGGCTGGAGGGAGGCCGCAAGAAAGAGGAGGAGGCCGGGGCCAAGGGGGCCAGACTTCCAGTGGTCGAGGACAGGTCGATCAAGGGGTTGGTGGTAGAGGAGGCCGCCAAGCGGGAGGTAGGGGTCAAGGTCCCCCGCAAAACCGCTCTAGTTTCGATCGATCACCTAGGAGGGGTGGATGGCATCCTGGTCTGCCATAGGGCAGGCCTTGGGAAGATCTGGGCTTGGAACAGACTGTGTGGCAAAGGCGAATAGACCAGGATCAGTGCATTTATTGCGGTGATCCGGGCCATATCATAAAGTACTGCCCCAAATATAGAGAAGCCGGGTTTGCTGCACAGGCAGCAAAAGGAAACCGCCGGTAGGGGTTGCAACTGCCCCTATCCCTAGACCATGTGGAGAAGAGTGCGCGCACCACATAGATACTCCCAAACCACATGTGTCTTTGGCAGATTTTGCTGGCCAGTGCCTAGATAGCTGTCCGGAGACTGCTTGTGTTAGAGTCTCTCTAGGCACTTCCTTTACAGGCGTGGCAGAAGAGTTGAAGGAGAGGATGCCTTCCTGGGCCAAGATGAAGAAGGATGCGAAAGGACAACTAGTTTTAGTAGATGTAGAGGTCTTTAGAGGTAGAGTAGGGGCCCTTATAGACAGTGGGGCCACCGCAACTATATCAGTAGGAAAGCGCTGCAAAAATTGAAGTTAAATCTCAAAGTCTGAAAGTTAGAAGACCCCATAGTCAGTATCCTCGTAGACAACTGCACTATGCGAGTCGAGGATTATGTAGAGGGAGTCCAGGCGTACTTTCGCCTAGAGAAGGATGGGAAGGTAGAGAAAGTTATCCATTCCCTGATTCTCCTCGTAGAGGACAACCTTCCTTTCGACATGGTCTTAGGAATGGACTGGGGAGAGGCAGCAGGGGCCACACTCCACTTGAGAGAGCACGAGTGTAAGCTCCCTAGTCCATCAAGCGAAGTTAAGACTGCTCGCCTGTTCCATGTGTCAGGAGTAGATAACTCTCTGGCACATTGCTGTCTCAGTGCCCCCGCATTTGCGCGTCTGGTAAAGGAGCAATTAGAAGAGTAGGTTTTTGTAGCCTATGTTAGGCCTGTCACTGAGCCTAAAGTAGAGAAACCCATAGATCCTGCGATTGCCAAACTGTTGGAGGAGTATACAGACTTAGCCAAGCCGCCTACAGGAGTAGTGCAGCGGCCTATCCAGCATCGTATTGAGATAGAGCCTGGCAGTAGAACTCCTAAGGGAGCCATTTGTAGAACGTCTCCACGGAAGTTAAAGGAGTTGCGCAAGCAGCTAGACGAGCTCCTCGAGAAGGGATGGATTAGGCCCAGTTCGTCTCCATTCGGAGCGCCTGTTCTTTTTGTTCCCAAGAAGGAAGGAGAACTTAGAATGTGTATTGACCAGAGGGGTCTCAATGTCGTTACTGTGAAGAATGCTGAACCACTGCCCCGTATAGATGATCTATTAGATCGGGTGTAGGGTTGCAAGTACTTCTCAAAGATAGATTTAAAGTTTGGCTATCATCAGATAGAGGTACATCCTGATGACCAGTACAAGACGACATTCAATTTTAGATATGGGCATTGTGATTTTATAGTGATGCCCTTTGGACTAACCAATGCSCCAGCTACGTTCCAGCGCTGCATGAACGATTTGTTCAGGCCGTGGTTAGATAGGTTTGTAGTAGTATATTTAGATGATATTCTAGTTTTTAGTAAGACCCTCCAGGAGAATGAGGGCCATTTGAGGGAGGTCTTGGAGAAGTTGAGAGAAGCTAATTTGAAAATCAACGCGAAGAAGTGCGAGTGGGCCAAGACACAAGTTTTATACTTGGGCCACGTTTTAGATGGAGATGGCATACAACCTGAGGGCAGCAAAATAACAGCGATCAGAGATTGGCCAACGCCCCGCACATTGACAGAGTTATGGTCGTTCTTAGGCCTAACTAACTATTATAGAAAGTTTGTGAGGAACTTCTCCACCATTGCTGCACCTCTTCGCAGATTGTTAAAGAAGGAGGCAATTTGGAAATGGGATAGAGATTGTACATCGACCCTGAAGAAGCTAAAACGGGCCTTGATAGAGTATCCAGTCCTCAAGGTAGCCGATCCATCTTTGCCTTTTGTCGTCAGACTCGTCACCACTGACTTCAGCCAGTATGGTACAGGTGCTGTTCTAGAGCAAGATGATGGCAATGGCTATAGACCCGTAGAGTTCATGTCTGCTAGGATGCCTTCAGAGAAGGTTGCGACATCTACCTATGAGAGGGAGCTCTACGCTCTCAAGCAAGCATTAAATCACTGGAAGCACTACTTGCTTGGGAGGCACTTCAAAGTCTACTCAGACCACGAGACGCTGAGATGGCTAAAGACGCAGGCCAAGATGACACCTAAGCTTACTAGGTGGGCCGCCCAGATAGATCAGTTTGACTTTGAGCTCAAGCCAGTGAAAGGAAAGTATAATGTAGTTGCGGATGCTTTGAGTAGGAGGGCTGATTACTTTGGAGCGATAGTTCACTATTTGGATATAGGCCGAGACCTGCAACAGAGAGTTAAGGAAGCGTATGCGCAGGACCCTATCTATAGTGACCTCCTCGAAAGAGTTAGGGAGGCTCCAAAGACTGAACCAGATTACCGCACTACAGGCGGGTTGTTATTCGAGAAGACTAACGTAGCTGACCGTTTGTGCATTCGTGATAACGAAGAGATCCGCAGTTTGATCTTAGGGGAATGCCACGACTCAGAGGGACATTCTGGTTGGCAAAAGACATTAGCCAACCTCATACGCGTGTATGGATGGCCAGGTATGAAAGCCGACTGCATAGAGTATGTCCGCAGTTGCAAAGTCTGCCAACGGAATAAGACCACCACGCGGACCCCTCTCGGTCTTCTCAGACCCTTGCCTATTCCCACAGGACCCAGAGATTCTGTGTCCATTGACTTATGGATGCTGGGGTCAAGATTAGGCATGGCAAGAGCCAAGTCATGGTTGTAGTTGATAAATTCAGTAAATATGCAGTCTTTGTTCCTTTACCCGCAGAGGCACGAACATATTTAGTTATAGACACGTTTTTCGATCATTGGGTCAGTGAACATGGTCTCCCGACGTCAATAGTTAGTGACAGAGGTACGAGGTTCACTAGTCAGAACTGGCAGGAGTTGATGAAAGACTATGGCTCTAGGTTGTTAATGTCATCTGACCGTCATCCTGAGACTAATGGTCAGACTGAACAAATGAACAAAATCCAGCAAGTTCTCAGAATGTACATTAGACCTGATCAGCTTAACTGGGATGAGATGCTTCCCAAGGTAGCCAACGCGTACAATAATAGTGTGCATTTAGCGGCTTGTCCCACTCTCAATGAGCTACACAAGTCCTTTAGACCACGTAGACCGTTTGAGGGACTGAACCGAGATCAGATTCAGAGGTGACCGCTCGGTACTAGGGAGTTTGCAGTACACTATGAAAAGGAGATTGCTACCGTTACAGAGAACCTCAGGAAGGCCCAACATAGAATGATAGAGCAAGCTAATAAGCACCGTCTCCCATCACAGTTTCAAGTAGGCGACTTAATGTGGGTCAATTCTGAAGAGTTTGCTCCTGAGGAGAACATCTTGCAAAAGTTAGTGCCTGCATACCGAGGACCGTGGCCAGTCTTAGAAGTCAAGGGTGGAGAGGATGGGTCGTCCTACATAGTTGAGATTCCAGCGCACCTCCACACCTACCCGGTGTTTCATGCGTTAAAGTTGCTGCCTTGTATCACAAGTCAACAGTTTCCGTCACGGAGGTCCATGATTCCTCTAGACATGGACGGAAGGTCTGACATTGACGACATCGTAGGTGAAGATGTCTTCAGAACAGGAGGTAGGGGTCGTTTGAGAAATAGTATGAAGTCATGTTCGCTTTTCAGGAACTAGAGGGCGACCGCTGGTTTACACGCACATAACTACTTGAGATTGCTCCCGAGGTAGTTTGTGCCTATGAGAGAGAGAAGAAAGACAAAGGTCCAGCCTTAGACTGAAGTATTCTCRGAGGACCTCAAATTTAGGCCGGCGGGAGTGAAACGGTTTCCACCTTTTGCAGACACAGATGCGGATCCCAGGGCTCGATCCCCATACCTCACCTTACCTGTATGCAGTATCAAGTCGACCCTCTGAGTCTTGAACCCGTGACCTGTGTTAGTAGTTGAGAGCTGTCTGTCGTAGGTACGAGTAGTTGTCGGGTCTTGAACCTTAGACCTGTCGAAGTAGGGGTCATACCTGCATAGGGGTCATAGTTATTCAAGTTCTGAAAGGTCAAGGTCGTAGCTGCTACAGTCCTGAAAGGTCAAGGTCGTAGCTCCCGAGGTAGTTTGTGCCTATGAGAGAGAGAAGAAAGACAAAGGTCCAGCCTTAGACTGAAGTATTCTCGGAGGACCTCAAATTTAGGCCGGCGGGAGTGAAACGGTTTCCACCTTTTGCAGACACAGATGCGGATCCCAGGGCTCGATCCCCAGACCTCACCTTACCTGTATGCAGTATCAAGTCGACCCTCTGAGTCTTGAACCCGTGACCTGTGTGTTAGTAGTTGAGAGCTGTCTGTCGTAGGTACGAGTAGTTGTCGGGTCTTGAACCTTAGACCTGTCGAAGTAGGGGTCATACCTGCATAGGGGTCATAGTTATTCAAGTTCTGAAAGGTCAAGGTCGTAGCTGCTACAGTCCTGAAAGGTCAAGGTCGTAGCTGCTACAGTCCTGAAAGGCCAAGTCCGCAAACTTCCGGAAGGTCCAGAAGTGGCCTTTTAAGTTTCTTCTCACGTTATACACAGTAGGCCAGAGGCAAGTGGGCAAGTGCTGAGTCCATCTTCGCTTAGTCAGCGGTACCCAGTCCTAGTGTCACTTTGTACAATCAGCAAGTACCATGAGGGACCGTGTGCACCATGGGCCCAGTGGAAAAGGGCAGACCAGCGACTTAACAGAAGTATAAATCAAGAGGCAGCGTCCAGCCATTCACTCATTCTTGCGGAAGCCATGTGAAAGCGCTGCCTGAGCAGCTTGTGCGAGGTGGTCTGCAAGATGCCCGAAGTCGAAGTGGGCTTGAAGGCGACAATGCGCTATAGTTAGTAGTAGCCGGCGGCCATAGCCGCCATAGCTAGTGTTAGGTGTTAGTGTGTGTGTACGAGTGTGTGATACAGTGAATGCGTGTGGGGTATTCAGGGTGATCCAGAGTGAGTATGTGCGAACAGTGGTGTTGGACACAATGCGAGAGTTGGGAGGTACAGGCGCTGATGCGCCATAGCTGTTGAAGTGAGCTTGCCCCTGAACTGTGTTCTCGGTTTCCATATCTTTGAGCTTTGAGTGGGCGCTTGGCGCCAGTGTGACTCGCCATCTGTTTGCATGTATGTGAAGTGAAGAATAAAGCGAGTCTGATTTCAGTTTTGTCCTGGGTGGTCTTGTCTCGTCGTTTGGCCTGTGAAGGAGGGGCGGTGCTTGCATGTGGGACTTGTCATCTAGGATCCGTTTTTGGTGTTGTTGCTTGTTGCCCCCTGTTTTGTTGTATTTGGCTGTTCCCTTCCTCTTTTCTTTGCCTCTTTGCCCTTTGGCTGTGTGCAAGTGGGTCGATATGTGACACATGGGGGTGGGGGCAGCCGCCGCTCAACCTACATCCTTCTGGGCGGCCTTGTACGCAAGAGGTTCTGAGCAGGGGGAGTTGTAAGTAAGAAGGTAAAAAATGAATTGATATCTTCTTTGTTTCCTTTTGTTTTTTTTCACTTTTGCTCTCTGATAATTTTGTGACTATATCACCCACTTTCTTCTTTATCTCCACATCGCTCTCGTCCTGTCACTGCTTGTTCATCTGCTGCTAATGCAGTTCCCACTGTTGCGGTTCCCACCGCCGCCGCTTCCACCGCTGTGGTCTCCACTGCTGCAGTTTCTACTGCTGCTGTTTCAACTCTGGGTTTCACTCCGGCAGTTTCTGCTACGGAAGTTGCCTCCGCTGCGGTCCCTGCTACGAAAGTTGCCTTTGCTGCGGTTCCTGCTACAACAGTTGTCTCTACTGCGGTTCCACTATTTACCACCGTGGTTCCTGCTACAACAGTTGTCTTTGCTGCGGTTCCACTTTGTACCACTTCCTCTGCTTCTGTAGCTCGAATTTCTCATGCTATAGTTTTTACTGGTATAGCTTCCTCTACCCCAGCCCGACRCTCGCGTCCTATGTTCCGACATCCTGCCCAATCCACCCCCCTTTCATCCCTTTCTGTGCTTGGCCGCAGACGGCTGCGTTCCTCCTCGCCACCCCCATCTCCTCCACGGTCTCGTTTGAGAACCGATTCTCTGGTTTCTATTCTTCCCATTGTTCCGCCTTCATTGCCAGTGACATCCTCATCTTCTGTTAAAAACATCGCCACTCCTCTTATTGTGTATCATCGTCGACGACATGCACAACACCGCCACTTGGCCAGGGATCAGCGGACTGCTTCTTTGTCTACCCCAATTTTCTCTGTGCCGCCTCCACAGGTTGTTGCGGTTCCGTTGTCCCAAACGGATACATCCACTCCTATGCCTCCTGCAGACAGTCCAGCTGCTTGGACACAGCCACAGCACCATGTTTTATGCCCTTCCATGTTCGTTTGTCCCCCAGCTGTACAACATGCGGCCCCGAACGCTGAGGGCCTGGAACATGATCAGCTCGGACTGCATTTAACCCCGCAAGGCATAGACCACACGGGGGATTTGCAAATGGCTGACCAGGATCATATGGATGAACCGCATACTTGTGCCCCACCCTCTGTGGCCCCGAACGCTGAGGGACTGGAACATGATCTGCTTGGACTGCATTTAATCCCACATGGCGCAGACCCCAGGAGGGATTTGCAAATGGCTGACCAGGATCATATGGATGAACCGCATTCTTGTGCACCACCCTGCGCAGACCCCACGGGTGATCTACAAATGACTGACCAACCAAACCAGCCTGAGATCCCCGCCAATCTCTGTGGTCTGACTGCAACTAATAGCTGCCTTCACATTTTCAATCGGCCGTTGTATACACCATCAGACTTCCTTGCAATTGCCCTACAGCTTGATGTTGATCTCGCTAATCTCGCTGATCCACCCGACCTACAGCCAGAGCATCGTAATTACACCAGGGAAGGAGGTTTTACCATTGCTGTCCTAGAAATAGCGATGAGGAACTGCCAGCTTGAACTACGCCATGCTCTACCAGGTGAGTTGTTTAACCCTCCATCCCACATCACTGCCTGCATTGTGCACGGGCCTGGCCATTACATGGCTATTGTACACGCCTCTGACCATTGGGAGGTGTGGAACGACGGTGTCATGGTCCATGCCATGATTGATATTACTGATTTCTTACTCTATGATGCTGTTCTCTTGCCACATCAAACTGTCCGCAATCTCCTTTATGTCGAAGATCATTCCTCTGCCACCACAGTGCAGCAGTACAATGTACACACACTATGTGACCTTCTCCTTTGTACAGCCACCGACACTGTTGCACTTGGGTGTACTCGCCATCATCTTTGTCACAATCACTACCATGAGATGGTTTCTTTTTTTTTTTTTTTAAGAAAACAGGGCCTTATGGTCCTGGCTCCTTCTATTCTGGGGAGCGTCAGTCCGGTTCCTATTCCACCGGCAAGTCAGAAAATACATTACATTAACAACAAAAACACACGCTCCCTCCCGTTTGGCCGGAGGACCCCTGAGCAGCATTGATCACTCCACCATAGGCGGAAGATTGACTGTCAGCTTGCCTTGGCTCTCTCTTTCCTCTCAGACCTGGGAGACCAGCTCTGTTCGATAATCCATTGCCACCTAGAAAGAATCGCCCATTGACTGTGCTTGCCTGTGTTTCCCCCTCCTCAGCCCTGTCTGTGGGTCACCAACGTCCTTTTCCTTGTTTCCCTTCCACTAGTCCGCCCGTTATTTCTTTTTACCTATGTTTTTCCTTTCCTCAGTTTTGCTCCTACGTCGTCATATCCCATCACCAATTAGGCCTTCTTCCTTCTTTTGAGACTTGAAATCTGTACCATGAGATGGTTTCTGCATCCRTGTGTGTACAGGATTGTCCCTCCGTTCCTGACTGCAGGCACCCTCCTCATCAGGACACTATGTCCATTTTGTGGCCACGGACGCTATGCTGAATGCATGCTCTTTTGTGGGGGGCGTTCTTCCTTTATTCTGGCTTGCAATAGACATGCTATTTGTSAGGAATGTATGGTTGGCATGCTTAATGCCAGCCGTCGTGGCAGTTGTTGTTTTGAGAATGCTCAGTTAGGTCTTCCATGCGCTCATCCACCCCATCCTTACA